GCTGTGCCCGGTGCGGGGCTGTGCCCGGTGCGGGGCTGTGCCCGGTGCGGGGCTGTGCCCGGTGCGGGGCTGTGCCCGGTGCGGGGCCGTGCCCGGTGCGGGGCTGTGCCCGGTGCGGGGCTGTGCCCGGTGCGGGAGGTGCCCGGGGGCTGTGCCCGGTGCGGGGCTGTGCCCGGTGCGGGAGGTGCCCGGTGCGGGGGCAGCGCTCGGTGCCGGGACAGCGCGGATCCCGCGGGGTTTTGGGAGCTCCTCCGGCCGCGATTCCCCCGGGCTGCGGCAGCGCCGGCTCCGAGCCCGGGCACGGCTGCCGAGGGCTGCGCCCCTCTCTCCGCGGGTACCTGCGGGGGCAGCGGGGATGGGTAGGCAGGCAAGGGGAGGGCTGTTTATATGGAAGCAGACGCGTGCCTCCCCCTCCCCCCTTCCCTAAATACTTTCCTTTTATAAACGTGCTGATTCTTTTTCTTCTTCTTCTTCTGCTTTTTCTTCTCTTCTGCATATAGGGAAAAGTTTGAAGACTCTTATGTCCAAAGGAATCTTACAGGTACATCCTCCAATCTGTGATTGCCCTGGGTGTCGAATTTCGTCTCCAGTGGTAAGATTATYGTTAAACTATGTGCTTTAGTTAAGACATCTTCCCTCTCCTCTGCCTCCTTCCCTTAAGAAAAAAAATTCCYTTTGCTTCGGTGATGATGGAATCATAATCTCTAAGGGTATGGAGGCTGCCAGAGCCCTGCCTGCAGTGTGAGGGCTCCAGCAGTCCGGGAGAGGTGAGCGGGAGAGGAGCTTGGAAGCAGAGCAGACGGGAGAGCAGTGTTTGACCTAAAGGAAGCAGCACTCTGTGTGATTTTTTTGGTTTTCAAGGGGAGTGTGTTTGCCCAGAGGCAAATCATTGAGAAGCCTCTTCCGTATTCCCACCCCTTCATTTCTGTGTATTGTGCAGAGGTGTGAAAATGGCTAAATAAAGCGAAAGGGAAATGGAATCGCACCCACGTGTTAGAGTCAGAGCAGCCACTGTTTACAAACTGAATTTGGTTAGGTGAACTTCATGAGGTACAGCTCAAATGCTTAAAACCTGAACATCATTCATGGCTTAGATCAATTGTGGCTTTTATAGATCTTCTCTTCCCAGCTTTTGAGTTCTTTGTGATTCCGCTGTCTTGCTTTTATTCTGAGKCTTTCAAAAATCTCTCATCAACGTTTTTATGGAGAACATGTTGATGCTATAAATAAAAGGATACTGAAATCATAGTAAAGTAAGGCCTTGAAAGGTTCATTGTGTGTAAAAATAACCACGAAGTACAATAACATCTAACCGGGAGGGCAGAGCTGTTGGTTTGGGGAACTAAAACAGCTCTTGGTCTGAAATAACAACAATGACTTAAAACGTTGTGGAAACAGATACAGTTGGAAATTTATGCACTTTTATCCACTGGAAATCAACCATTTTTGATTTTGTTGTTTCTTTGGGATGGGGTGGACAATTTGTGTTCACACGCAGTGTTTTTATGGCTCGGGATAGAGCTGGGAATTCTTCCTGCTTGGGATTTTTGTGCATGCATGGTGGTGTTATAAATACCCACATTGCCATGGTGTTATAAATACCCACATTGCCATGGTGGTGTTACAAATACCCACATTGCCATGGTGGTGTTATAAATACCCACATCGCCATGGTGGTGTTACAAATACCCACATTGCCATGGTGGTGTTATAAATACCCACATTGCCATGGTGTTATAAATACCCACATTGCCATGGGGTGTTATAAATACCCACATTGCCATGGGGTGTTACAAATACCCACATTGCCATGGTGGTGTTATAAATACCCACATTGCCATGGTGTTATAAATAAACCATGGTGGTGTTATAAATACCCACATTGCCATGGTGGTGTTACAAATATCCACATTACCACAGGAAGGGGCTCAGAGCAATAACCAACAGCGCCATAAATTCATGGAAAATGTGTTTTACTTGTGTGATGTGGCAGCAGCCACTGCTGCCCATCGCTGCCTGGCATTTGAGACCAGCTGGGCTAAACCTGGCTTTGCTGAGCTCGAGTTTGGGGGCCAAGGTGTGATGGGGGTCAGCAGCTTTGTCTGGCTGAGGTTTTGCTGTGCTTTGTTGCCAATTGTGTGGATTGGAGCCAACAATCTGCCCGTGATGGGGATGTGCTGCTGTTGTGGGGATGTTGGGAGGTGCCTGCCCAGGTGACCCRCTCTGCTGGTCATTTTTTGGGTCAGCAGTAGCCAAAAGGCCATCAGACACTTTCCTGGCAGCAGCGTTTTTGGGGAGTTGTGCAGGGGTGGGTGCATTTCCAGATGGGAACATGGCTCTGAATGAAACCCGTGCTTCTAGAACTGAATTTGGAAAGTTGAGATAGAGGGAAAAGGTGCAGAAATAAATCTTTTTGGGAGAAATAAATCTTTCTGGACTTCCTTTCCCACTGCTTCCCCAGCTGGGAAAGAAGGTTTTGATGTCAGAATTTGCATAGCAAGGCCAGGGCCCAGTGAGGACTTCTGTCAGAACTCGGTTTCTGAACAGTCCCTACACTTTCTGTGCTGTAATCAGAGTGTGTCTGAGCAAAGGACAGTTCCACATTTTGAACCCGAAGTATTTTGGTAGAGCTTTGTGGTAGCTACATGCACCACATGGCAGAACAGCCACACAAGAAGGAGGATTAGGARTTGGGCACGGTTTATCTTTCCCCGTTTGGTGATCACCCACTCAAGCACCGCTGAGATCCAAGGGCTGGTTCTCCTCCAAAGCAGAAATGTTTTGTATTTTGTGGTGTAGAAGAGCAGGGATTTGCGGTGGCTCTTGTGCGATCCGGTGGGGGTGTGGAGATGGGGAGCTGGTTCCTCTGCTCCCAAATCAGCGGGAATAGAGCAGGAAAACTCACGGGCTGCCTCTGGAAGGGGACAGGGCTGCATCTCTGCCCATCTGCTCCCTGC